AGCTCAGTTGGAAGAGCATTTGGCTAGTATTCCAAAGGTCGTAGGTTCGAATCCTACCGTGGCCGGGCATATTTTTCAAGGTCGCCCGGTGTGGATATGCACTCAGAGTAACAGCGCAAACATATTATTCACCTGAGGACACAACACCAACACAGAAAAAAAAAATTCATATTACTAGAACATATTGGTATTGAAGGAACTAGATACTGTTCCGAAATATCACTTACTCGAACCGTCCTGGCCGCATAGCTCAGTTGGAAGAGCATTTGGCTAGTATTCCAAAGGTCGTAGGTTCGAATCCTACCGTGGCCGGGCATATTTTTCAAGGTCGCCCGGTGTGGATATGCACTCAGAGTAACAGCGCAAACATATTATTCACCTGAGGACACAACACCAACACAGAAAAAAAAAATTCATATTACTAGAACATATTGGTATTGAAGGAACTAGATACTGTTCCGAAATATCACTTACTCGAACCGTCCTGGCCGCATAGCTCAGTTGGAAGAGCATTGGGCTAGTATTCCAAAGGTCGTAGGTTCGAGTCGGGCCGTGGCCGGGCATGTTTTTCAAGCTCGCCCGGTGTGGATATGCATTCAGAGTAACATCGCAAACATATTATTCCCCTGAGTACACAACACCAACACAGAAAAAAAAATTCATATTACTAGAACATATTGGTATTGAAGGAACTAGATACGGTTCCGAAATATCACTTACTCGAACCGTCCTGACCGCATAGCTCAGTTGGAAGAGCATTGGGCTAGTATTCCAAAGGTCGTAGGTTCGAGTCGGGCCGTGGCCGGGCATGTTTTTCAAGCTCGCCCAGTGTGGATATGCACTCAGAGTAACATCGCAAACATATTATTCACCTGAGTACACAACACCAACACAGAAAAAAAAAATTCATATTACTAGAACATATTGGTATTGAAGGAACTAGATACTGTTCCGAAATATCACTTACTCGAACCGTCCTGACCGCATAGCTCAGCTGGAAGAGCATTGGGCTAGTATTCCAAAGGTCGTAGGTTCGAATCCCACCGTGGCCGGGCATATTTTTCAAGCTCGCCCGGTGTGGATATGCACTCAGAGTACCATCGCAAACATATTATTCACCTGAGTACACAACACCAACACAGGAAAAAAAAATTCATATTAGTAGAACATATTGGTATTGAAGGAACTAGATACTGTTCCGAAATATCACTTACTCGAACCGTCCTCACCGCGTAGCTCAGTTGGAAGAGCATTGGGCTAGTATTCCAAAGGTCGTAGGTTCGAATCCCACCGTGGCCGGGCATATTTTCAAGCTTGCCCGGTGTGGATATGCACTCAGAGTAACATGGCAAAATTTTTAATCACCTGAGTACACAACACCAACACAGAGAAAAAAAAAATTCATATTACTAGAAGATATTGGTATTGAAGGAACCAGATACTGTTCAGAAATATCACTTACTCGAACCGTCCCGACTGCGTAGCTCAGTTGGAAGAGCATTGGGCTAGTATTCCAAAGGTCGTAGGTTCGAATCCTACCGTGGCCGGGCATATTTTTCAAGCTCGCCCAGTGTGGATATGCACTCAGAGTAACATCGCAAACATATTATTCACCTGAGTACACAACACCAACACAGAGAAAAAAAAATTCATAGTACTAGAACATATTGGTATTGAAGGAACTAGATACTGTTCCGAAATATCACTTACTCGAACCGTCCTCACCGCGTAGCTCAGTTGGAAGAGCATTGGGCTAGCATTCCAAAGGTCGTAGGTTCGAATCCCACCGTGGCCGGGCATATTTTCAAGCTCGCCCGGTGTGGATATGCACTCAGAGTAACATGGCAAACATATTATTCACCTGAGTACACAACACCAACACAGAGAAAAAAAAAAATTCATATTACTAGAAGATATTGGTATTGAAGGAACCAGATACTGTTCCGAAATATCACTTACTCGAACCGTCCTGACTGCGTAGCTCAGTTGGAAGAGCATTGGGCTAGTATTCCAGAGGTCGTAGGTTCGAATCCTACCGTGGCCGGGCATGTTTTTCAAGCTCGCCCGGTGTGGATATGCACTCAGAGTAACATCGCAAACATATTATTCACCTGAGTACACAACACCAACACAGAAAAAAAAATTCATATTACAAGAACACATTGGTATTGAAGGAACTAGATACGGTTCCGAAATATCACTTACTCAAACCGTCCTGACCGCATAGCTCAGTTCGAAGAGCATTGGGCTAGTATTCCAAAGGTCGTAGGTTCGAATCCCACCATGGCCGGGCATATTTTTCAAGCTCGCCCGGTGTGGATATGCACTCAGAGTAACATCGCAAACATATTATTCACCTGAGTACACAACACCAACACAGGAAAAAAAATTCATATTACTAGAACATATTGGTATTGAAGGAACTAGATGCTGTTCCGAAATATCACTTACTCGAACCGTCCTCACCGCGTAGCTCAGTTGGAAGAGCATTGGGCTAGTATTCCCAAGGTCGTAGGTTCGAATCCCACCGTGGCCGGGCATATTTTTCAAGCTTGCCCAGTGTGGATATGCACTCAGAGTAACATCGCAAACATATTATTCACCTGAGTACACAACACCAACACAGAGAAAAAAAAATTCATATTACTAGAAGATATTGGTATTGAAGCAACCAGATACTGTTCCGAAATATCACTTACTCGAACCGTCCTGACTGCGTAGCTCAGTTGGAAGAGCATTGGGCTAGTATTCCAAAGGTCGTAGGTTCGAATCCTACCGTGGCCGGGCATATTTTTCAAGGTCGCCCAGTGTGGATATGCACTCAGAGTAACAGCGCAAACATATTATTCACCTGAGTACACAACACAAACACAGAGAAAAAAAATTCATATTACTAGAACATATTGGTATTGAAGGAACTAGATACTGTGCCGAAATATCACTTACTCGAACCGTCCTGACCGCGTAGCTCAGTTGGAAGAGCATTGGGCTAGTATTCCAAAGGTCGTAGGTTCGAATCCTACCGTGGCAGGGCATATTTTTCAAGCTCGCCCAGTGTGGATATCCACTCAGAGTAACAGCGCAAACATATTATTCACCTGAGTACACAACACAAACACAGAAAAAAAAATTCATATTACAAGAACACATTGGTATTGAAGGAACTAGATACTGTGCAGAAATATCACTTACTCGAACCGTCCTGACCGCGTAGCTCAGTTGGAAGAGCATTGGGCTAGTATTCCAAAGGTCGTAGGTTCGAATCCACCGTGGGCGGGCATATTTTTAAAGCTCGCCCGGTGTGGATGTGCACTCAGTGTAACATGGCAAACATATTATTCACCTGAGTACACAACACCAACACAGAAAAAAAATTCATATTACTAGAACACATTGGTGTTGAAGGAACTAGATACTGTTCCGAAATATCACTTACTCGAACGGTCCTGACCGTTTAGCTCAGTTGGAAGAGCATTGGGCTAGTATTCCAAAGGTCGTAGGTTCGAATCCCACTGTGGCCGGGCATATTTTGGAAGCTCGCCCGGTGTGGATATGCACTCAGAGTAACATCGCAAACATATTATTCACCTGAGTACAGAACACCAACACAGAAAAAAAAAATTCATATTACCAGAACATATTGGTATTGAAGGAACTAGATACTGTTCCGAAATATCACTTACTCGAACCATGCTGACCGCGTAGCTCAGTTGGAAGAGCATTGGGCTAGTATTCCAAAGGTCGTAGGTTCGAATCCCACCGTGGCCGGGCATATTTTTCAAGCTCGCCCGGTGTTGATATGCACCCAGAGTAACATCGCAAACATATTATTCACCTGAGTAGACAACACCAACACAGGAAAAAAAAATTCATATTAGTAGAACATATTGGTATTGAAGGAACTAGATACTGTTCCGAAATATCACTTACTCGAACCGTCCTCACCGCGTAGCTCAGTTCGAAGAGCATTGGGCTAGTATTCCAAAGGTCGTAGGTTCGAATCCCACCGTGGCCGGGCATATTTTCAAGCTCACCCGGTGTGGATATGCACTCAGAGTAACATGGCAAACATATTATTGACCTGAGTACACAACACCAACACAGAAAAAAAAAATTCTTATTACTAGAAGATATTGGTATTGAAGGAACCAGATACTGTTCCGAAATATCACTTACTCGAACCGTCCTGACTGCGTAGCTCAGTTGGAAGAGCATTGGGCTAGTATTCCAAAGGTCGTAGGTTCGAATCCTACCGTGGCCGGGCATATTTTTCAAGGTCGCCCGGTGGGGATATGCACTCAGAGTAACAGCGCAAACATATTATTCACCTGAGTACACAACAGCAACACAGAAAAAAAAAATTCATATTACTAGAACATATTGGTATTGAAGGAACCAGATACTGTTCCGAAATATCACTTACTCGAACCGTCCTGACCGCGTAGCTCAGTTGGAAGAGCATTGGGCTAGTATTCCCAAGGTCGTAGGTTCGAATCCCACCGTGGCCGGGCATATTTTTCAAGCTTGCCCGGTGTGGATATGCACTCAGAGTAACATGGCAAACATATTATTCACCTGAGTACAAAACACCAACACAGAGAAAAAAAAAATTCATATTACTAGAACATATTGGTATTGAAGGAACCAGATACTGTTCCGAAATATCACTTACTCAAACCGTCCTGACCGCGTAGCTCAGTTCGAAGAGCATTGGGCTAGTATTCCAAAGGTCGTAGGTTCGAATCCCACCGTGGCCGGGCATATTTTCAAGCTCGCCCGGTGTGGATATGCACTCAGAATAACAGCGCAAACATATTATTCACCTGAGTACTCAACACCAACACAAAAAAAAAATTCATATTACTAGAACATATTGGTATTGAAGGAACTAGATACTGTTCCGAAATATCACTTACTCGAACCGTCCTCACCGCGTAGCTCAGTTGGAAGAGCATTGGGCTAGTATTCCAAAGGTGGTAGGTTCGAATCCCACCGTGGCCGGGCATATTTGCAAGCTCGCCCAGTGTGGATATGCACTCAGAGTAACAGCGCAAACATATTATTCACCTGAGTACACAACACCAACACAGAAAAAAAAAATTCATATTACTAGAAGATATTGGTATTGAAGGAACCAGATACTGTTCCGAAATATCACTTACTCGAACCGTCCTGACTGCGTAGCTCAGTTGGAAGAGCATTGGGCTAGTATTCCAAAGGTCGTAGGTTCGAATCCTACCGTGGCCGGGCATATTTTTCAAGGTCGCCCGGTGTGGATATGCACTCAGAGTAACAGCGCAAACATATTATTCACCTGAGTACACAACACCAACACAGAAAAAAAAAATTCATATTACTAGAACATATTGGTATTGAAGGAACTAGATACTGTTCCGAAATATCACTTACTCGAACCGTCCTGACCGCGTAGCTCAGTTGGAAGAGCATTGGGCTAGTATTCCAAAGGTCGTAGGTTCGAATCCCACCGTGGCCGGGCATATTTTTCAAGCTCGCCCGGTGTGGATATGCACTCAGAGTAACATCGCAAAACATATTATTCACCTGAGTACACAACACCAACACAGAAAAATATTCATATTACTAGAACACATTGGTATTGAAGGAACTAGATACTGTTCCGAAATATCACTTACTCGAACCGTCCTGACCGCGTAGCTCAGTTGGAAGAGCATTGGGCTAGTATTCCAAAGGTCGTAGGTTCGAATCCCAGCATGGCCGGGCATATTTTTCAAGTTCGCCCGGTGTGGATATGCACTCAGAGTAACATCGCAAACATATTATTCACCTGAGTACACAACACCAACACAGAAAAAAAAAATTCATATTACTAGAACATATTGGTATTGAAGGAACTAGATACTGTTCCGAAATATCACTTACTCGAACTGTCCTGACCGCATAGCTCAGTTGGAAGAGCATTGGGCTAGTATTCCAAAGGTCGTAGGTTCGAGTCGGGCCGTGGCCGGGCATGTTTTTCAAGCTCGCCCGGTGTGGATATGCACTCAGAGTAACATCGCAAACATATTATTCACCTGAGTACACAACACCAACACAGGAAAAAAAAATTCATATTAGTAGAACATATTGGTATTGAAGGAACTAGATACTGTTCCGAAATATCACTTACTCGAACTGTCCTGACCGCGTAGCTCAGTCGGAAGAGCATTGGGCTAGTATTCCAAAGGTCGTAGGTTCGAATCCCACCGTGGCCGGGCATATTTTCAAGCTCGCCCGGTGTGGATATGCACTCAGAGTAACATGGCAAACATATTATTCACCTGAGTACACAATACCAACACAGAGAAAAAAAAAATTCATATTACTAGAAGATATTGGTATTGAAGGAACCAGATACTGTTCCGAAATATCACTTACTCGAACCGTCCCGACTGTGTAGCTCAGTTGGAAGAGCATTGGGCTAGTATTCCAAAGGTCGTAGCTTCGAATCCTACCGTGGCCGGGCATATTTTTCAAGGTCGCCCGGTGTGGATATGCACTCAGAGTAACAGCGCAAACATATTATTCACCTGAGTACACAACACCAACACAGAAAAAAATTCATATTACTAGAACATATTGGTATTGAAGGAACTAGATACTGTTCCGAAATATCACTTACTCGAACCGTCCTGACCGCATAGCTCAGTTGGAAGAGCATTGGCCTAGTATTCCAAAGGTCGTAGGTTCGACTTCCGTCAGAACAAAACAGTTATTCCACCACTAACATTCAATGATACAACGTTGGAAAGGGTTTCCACTTTCAAACTATTGGGCTTATGGATTGACGATAATTTAAAGTGGCAAATTAATACTGATTATATAATAGGGAAAGCAGTTAAGTGACTCTTTTTATTAAAAACTTTAAAGAAATACGGTGCTGACAAGATTGATATGAAACGGTTTTACATCTCTGCCATCAGGCCGACACTTGAATATGGAGCGCAAGTCTGGCATGGGGGCCTTACTAAAGCACAGAGCAGCAGTATTGAGAAAGTACAAAGAAGGGCTTTGAGAATAATTTATTCCGAAAAAGATTACGAAAAGTTATTGATGAAAGCTGGAATGCATACGCTTGAACAACGTCGCAATACTATGTGCATTGATCTTATCAGTAAAATGTCTGACCCGCAACACAAACTGCACCATCTTCTTCCTAATAAACTTTGCAAGGTACGGCAAAGGGTTACACGTCAGAATGGTCAATTGTTTTACAATTACCACTACAGAACAGAACGTTTTCGGAACAGTCCAATCGTTTCGTCAATTGAACTCTATAATAACTCTATTTTATAATATAATATATAATATAACTTTATATATTTTTATCGAAACATTTTTAACACGTAGTGATAGTTTTTGGATCAGCCCATTTGTTTCGCCAATTTGAACCTTTGTTAATAACTCTCTTTTTTTAATATAACTAGCTCTATTGAAACTTTTATAATACTAATTTAGATAGTTCAGTAATTGATGTATATCTTCTATATATATGTAATGCGCGTTCTAATTTAGTTACCTACTGTTAGCTATTCAATGTGTAATCTTTCTATAATAATAATAATAATAATAATAATAATATTCTTCACGTGCTATACCATTACCCTGATTATCAAAAATCTTGTGTGCGCCGGCATACAGGGTTTGAAAAGCAGAAATGTAATTGCTGTCTGCTCCAAATTTCAACTGTAATGGTTTTCCAGGTAAGTTCTCTCTGTTGACAGTGAGACCCATGGTTGTGATATCGTAATTTTTAAAATTGAATGGGTTCTTCGTATAAGTACCGTTAAAGGCATCCGTGTCGACCATTCCAATCACAATATGATTTGGTAAACCACCTTGAAATATATTAGGTTGATTTCCAGACATATTCCCCTGAGGTACGGAGACAACTTTGCAGTCGATCCTGTTGATTGGGTATTTGGCAGTGATTTGTTGAAGGGACTGGGAATGAGCCAGTATAATACTAGGGGCTATGTTAACTCGTCGTACACAAAACAAACATTCCTCGATGACTACTTTGAAATTGAGACTTTCTGCGGATACCAAACAAAACGTATCTCTAGATCTCACCAGTTTGATCTTGATTGGTACAGCACCAAGAATATAACGGTCTTGCGTGAATAGATCAGAATGAAGTCTTCCTTCCATGGCGACAGATTTGCTTTCACGTGTGTATGCATGGCGTTGTTTTAATCCTGTGTTGACGTGTGCATCTTGTGCAAGAGGGTTTACTGCATCCATCTTTCCAGCTTTATCTTTATAGAACAGTGCTGAGGTCAAATGTGAATCTTTGGTGTCTTTACTAAAGTTCAGGATTGTTTCGATATATGCTCGGTAAGGGTATGCTGTGCTTGATGGGGTGACCAGTTTGTTGTTCAGAAATACTTCAACTTGTGAGAATAATGCATGCATCCAAAGGTTTGAAGGTCCAACTTGAATGTCTGCATCCATATTTCCTCTGGTCGCAGTAGTGATCTTTGCTTTAATGTATAAGTAACTGCTTGCTAAGTCTGTATAAACTCCAGAATTTGCAGCACATAAAAAGTCTATCGTATCTGAAGAAGATATACTCGTAATAGGATCAACATCTTCCCAATATCCTTTTTCCATTACCACTCGAGTCGGTGGAATAGAAAATAAATCGAGTTCAGATTTTGAACACATACAGGAGTCTTTATGCATTGTTTCAAGAGCCATGCCACTTTGGACTATAGTTATCGAGAGATGTTTTCTGCTTCTTGGTTGGACCGCGAATGGGAGTTTTAGTTGGCGCTGCTCTTTTTATACCCTTTTTGCGACCCTTTCCGGTCATTACTTTCCTGGCAACATTTTTTGCAACATCAGATGCTGCTTGTTTTCCTTGTGATTTAAAAGCTTCTTTTACATTTTTTCCTTGGAGTACATCTTGATCGACTTCTGTAGCTGCTTGCAATGCTCTTTTGCCAACAACTTTAGCACCTTGTTTGAACAGAGGGATAGCATATCTTGCAAGGCTCTTGAAAATACTTCCGATCTCATATCCTCTTTGCATATGTGCACCACGAAACCCAGTGATATTCCCATCACGTTGCTGTCTCAAGAAATGGTCTTTCAATAGTTTAGCATCCACAACTAGTCTTCCGCGCATTTTTAGATAAAGTACTGAGATCTCTTCTGTCTAAAGTGAAGTGTTGCGATTGACTTCCCGAACTCAAATGAGACGTTTTCGTTTTGGTCATTCTTTATATTCTCTTCAATGGTCTCAAAAGAATTTACTTTGACCAGTACGTATTGCAAATTACGAAAGCTGGCGTGAACGGTGTTTCCATAGTCCCCTTCGATATTAACGATTCGTAGTAAAGGTACTTTCACATCGCCCACAAACTGTGCATCAACGATATCAGTGGACATACATGGAGGAAAATCCACCATTGATATCTGCAGGATAGGGACTCGAAGTTTTCTTTTCGATAAGAGTGTCCTGGTCAAATCCCAAGACGGTTGCTAATTCTCCGGTAAACCACACAGTTGTGTTGTGTTTTACATCAACCGAAACTTTGCGAGAACTACGATTATAACTAAACTTTACTTTCATTTGTGTTTCTTTTGACATGCCGGCATTGAGTGCTTTTGTTAGTTGCTCAATAGAAGAATATTGTGTTTCTTTAAGCACAACAGTTTGATAAGGGTTACTGCCAATTTTATACAAAAACGTTTGTTGTACTCCACATTTTAGCGTACTCCACGTTTTAGCGTGCTCCACGTTTTAGCGTGCTCCACGTATGTGGGTAATGCAGTTCCGTCAATGTGACTTCCCATTGCCCTGTCAAGACAATGTGGTTTCGGCCAATTTCACTCGAAAATTTGCCACTGTTTTATTTTGAAAATAAGCCAGCCATAGAACTATTACTCAGTAACGTGAGATAAAACTGTGTTGCCATATTGAAGACCAACACACAAATGAATACAAGTTATGAGTTTCAAATATATTTATTTCAGATCTTTTACACTCTCTGCTGGTACCCAAGAATTCAACTTGTCAGGGTAACCCAACCATTTTACATAATACTCTTTACGTTTATTACACATGTGTGATCTTATTACTTTTTCTACTCTATAATAGTCACTGTCTGATTTGTTGACTTTCTGAAGTTCCTGCTCGTAAAATGTTCCTTTCAGTTTCTCACCGTCAAAATCTACAATCTTGTAAACAGGTGGTCGCCGAGGTATGTGTTTCGTTACCGTGAACACTTCAGTCCAATTGGGCAAGTATCCTTTCTTAAATGTTTGCTTTGCTTTGCTAATCCGCACTTGGTCGCCAATGTTACACTTGAACTGCATTGATTTTTTCGACTCCTTCCCGTAGAGTGTTTGCCACACAATATTCTCGTTACTTTTATTCACATCTACCGGTCTCATACCAATACTACGATGTCGAGAATGATTATAAGATTTGACCAGTTTCTGGAGAATGTCCACGTACTTGAGCGTATTGTTCGCTGTAAAGTATTTCCACATGTTCCCTTTAAGCGTACGATTGAATCTTTCTACGATTGATGCTTTCGTTTCATTTTGCGTTGTAAAGAACCAAATACCTTCTTCCTTTAACAAGGCTTGAAATTTTCGGTTGGTAAACTCCGTACCTTTATCCGAGTGAAACGTTTCGGGTTTGCGGTGCTTTTTAAGAATTTTCTCGAACGCCCTGACCAGATTTCCCCCCGTTTTTGCTTTGATCGGTTCAACCCATGCATACTTGCTAAGTACATCTATCACGGTTAAAATATATCTGTAGTTATTATTGTACTTTGCTAACGAGTCCATAATTACTAGATCCGCCTCCCACTGTTCATCGATAGCTCCTACTATAACACGGTTCCGCTTGAAACAATATCTTACAGGCTTATGTAGGGTTTTGGTATCTTGCGTTCTAAGCCATGTTCGTATGTTATTCCGTGATATTTGATGTTTGCCTTCGCTTTTTAAGGCACAATATATAGAATCGACTCCACCAAAGCTTGCGGGACTTTCCGGATTGTAATACAGCTCGGCTAGACATTTCTCTGCCATCAATATCTGAGTCATGTATTATAATTTTACCACCACAACAAGCAGAAATGCAACATACTTTTCGAAAAATGTTTCGGAGGGAAATCTCTGGAAGACGTTTACCACAACAAGGCATCATCCTTCCACCTCAAAGGCTTGAGCAAAATGAGCAAGACTGTCGTTATAGACTCACATATATAGCAATCAAAGTGAGAGAGTAGTTATTATGAAAATTTTCCATTTATTGAATCGTTTGTATTTTGGAATGTATATGTTTTGAAATGCCTCAATAGCTCTTCGTACATTTCGACGAATATTATCTTCACTGTAACAATGTAAACTGATGACAGCTAAATAAGCAAAGAGTCGTCCATACTACAGGATTACAGTTACTCATATTTCTTAAGAAACTGCATGCATAATATGTATTTATTAAGCGATCGATAATTAACTAAACTCATTTGTTAGAGCATTTACAGATTTAAAGAATAAGTATTCTTCGTACGCATCCTTAGTGTCAACTTTTCCACTAGTAAATGTCTCTCCAGTTTCTGATACTTTATACTGATATTGTAGCAGATTGGTAAACAGCACTCCCTAGTTCTGAATAGATGGCGACTCCTTTGTTGGTTTCCATTCGAAGAAATTACAGGCATCGTTTTCTTTCGCACAGCAGTAAAAGAGACGATTTTGATTCGGACCGTCTTTCTTGACTTTGCGAATTCGACACACGAATCCATGACTGCATCTCGGAGAAGGATTGTGAAAAATATCATCCCATTGCCAAAACGTGCAAGGGTTTTCTCGTTCAGCGCAGACGAAAAATGGTCAACCATAACTGAGCTTCATCTTGTCTTTAACCATACATATCTTGGCATGTTTCTGATGAGCAGGACATATTGGCTGAAGATTACCACTTTTGCGAAACGATTCTATGGCCTTTGTCATCATGTAACTGTCTTCGTCTGGACAGCTAGGCTTCTGACCACAAAACCAAAATGTTCCATGTTGTGTTGTAGAAGAGGCTGTCGGTTTTTCATGTGTAGGCACTCCATTTCGTTTGAGAGACAGTGATTAAATGAACAGACGCGATGCATTGCCTAACGTTAATGTATAGAAAAAACTAATTACCTATTATGCGATAACAAAGAGTTTTGTTACGTAGATGAAGCTTGCACAAACTTGCCCGCGTCGTCTCTCCAGTATGACAAATAATTTAAAATACATTGAAGTTTTTGATTTTCTTCCGTTAAATGCTGTTCTCTCAATGATTTCAATAACATGGGGTCATCCGTGCTTTCCAGCTGCTGTAAATGTGTACGCATGTTTTCGCGATGGATCATCTTCAATACTCTTGTTGCTTCAATAAATTCGCTCCAAATGCAATATTTGCATTTCACTTGCATAACTGCGTCCGTTGTATAGAACAACCATCTTTCTTCGTCATCCATCATAAGACAGTCATGGTTTCTTTGACTAGGATGACCGACTTCACAACCGTAGCAGTTGTCTTCGCAGATATTATTAACTTCATTCTGAATTGCATGGATGTAAATGGCTTCCAGTAAGTGAACAGATGCTTTGCCTTCCATGTTTAAAAGTAAAATAAGACACAAGCTAACAACCGTTTCGCCAGAACCTGCTGTCTTAACGACTTTCGTTATTGTCCTACCATGTGCTTGATGCAAATTTCCACACAGTTGTCATTTGTAGCGACGCTAACATAGCTATAGCATATGCGATTACTTTTGTGATAGAAAAAAAGCGATTACTTTTGTGATAGAAATGCTGACCTCAGCTTAATGACTTTCTTGCTCAGGCTCGCCTTGTATATCATTATGACATCACATGTGCGCACAGTCCTCCGACCGGCGACGGATCGGGATGACGTAGGCATAATTAATGCTTTTTACATATGAATATATAATTAGGGATGAAGGTCGTGAAGGAGTAAGACATAATGAATACATAATGAGGTTACAAGCTCTGCATACTAATTACTTCCGTCGCCAGAGTGGGGGGTATCACTACTTTTATATATATATAAAATGTTCTTGACACAATTACATATATCAAAATATTATAGTCATTTGTACTTTATCTTTCTAATAGACATTGGCAATCTCATTCAACAAGCTTTAAACAGGGATAAGGAAGAAAACCTCGGAAAAGCTCCATGTGACCGAATACCAGTGCATCTTGAAAACCTGGTTAAAGCTATTTGTAGTTGTGGTGTATCATTCTCTGTTTGGGAAAAACAGAATGCAGATGGTAAAGGAAGTGGTCTCCATGACTTCACAAGTCTGATGGGTCCAGCAAAGAAAATATTGCTAGAAAAACTACCATCAAAGTTAGATGATATACTTATGATACAAGTAATACAATAATTAAGATCTGGGAGGTATATACTAAGCCTTTTACTATATTACAATAGAATTAGAATGTAATCATCAAATATTTTATTACATATTTTAAACTGAGAACAGCCATTCCAACTTATACCTTCACAGGATTTCAACCATATTTACAAAGAGTACATACAGAAGCAAGGTCTAACAGAGGCAGACGTTGATACCTATTTTGCCAAGGTACACAAGATCTATTATACCCTAAGGGATAACACCAAGCTTTTATTCTTCCTAACACATGACAACTTTGTCTTCCCTGCATAAAACGTTTTGTTGTGCCCTTGCATCATACTGTAATGGAATATGCTAAATTTCCAATTTAATTAATGGACACATACACTGACACAGTATATCTTTTTAAAGTTTAGGTTACAGCTTGGGTAAGCCTATTTTTGTCACTTGGTGGTATTTATGATGGCTATGGCAAAGCAAATATTACTCCATACATTCATGCTATGGTGTACCATGTCACAGAATAAGGAGTAGAACCAGAAGGGACACTCTTTTGATGTTAGGCGGTAGCGCCGACATAGGCCTGCATACACCCGTGAGAGAGCAGCGGCCATGTTCTTAGGTAGTATAGTGTGAGAATTTTACTATAAACAATATGGCGAAAACCGCACTATGATTAATAAAACTGCTCCTTTTCGTCTGTTTTATGAATATTCTGAAGAAAAGGTAAGCGACTTTTTATTTGTCAAGTCTGGTAGCGTAATTATTTTTTTCTAGTACAATTTAGTTGCGAATTTTGCTCGGGAGTATGAAGGCTCTCATGACAGCTCATATAAATGTTTTGGTTGACTCTCGCACGTTTAAATATTGTTTTAATAAGGTGTCCAAATTATTCCCTGGACCGCTGGATGGGTTATTGATGACCATTGATCATTTTACTATGTATACGGTACACAAAGTATTTTATTTTATGTCTATTATTTCAAAGAGGTACCTTGGCGAAATTTTAATCATCGATATTTTTGTAATTCATACTCCAATATTAAAATGGGAAAGCAAGCGTTTCAAAGGAACTACTCCATGAAATTGATAAAGAAGATAAATAACTTCTTGATAAGTCTAGCTATTTAAATGTGTTACTATCGAGTAGTCACTAGTCATGGGTACATTCATCAAATTAATTTTAATAATTTGTTTTAAACTCCATGCAGGGATGGTTGCAGATGTTGAAAGGTCTTCAGCGTTTAAACAGTGACACCACATAGAACTCAATATGGAGTCAATACACCGATTCAGCAAAAAAGCAACGCTGCATGGAAACGAGGCTTAATAGCCCTTGACGCTTGAGCATATCCAAGATGGCGGATGAACTAGCAGCCGCAGCTGGGGGAAAAATTGCAGCGAAGAAGAAAAAAATGGGACATAAATGTTGTGCAGCTGCCAATTGTAATTTTCGAAGTGACAATCGTCCTGATTTGTCTTTTCATGAGTTTCCAAAGGATGATTACTTAAAAAAGAAGTGGGAAGTCAAAATGCGAAGAGGAGACGCTACTTTCAAAAACATTGCGAATAAGTTTTGTTGTTCTGCGCATTTTTTGCCATCGGATTTCAAACAGAGTTTAACGGGGCATAGGCGAGATTTAAAGAGAGGAGCAATCCCTTCAGTGTTTAAATGGACACCAGTAACTAGTGACCCCAGAGGAGAACGTTTAAAATTGCGAAACGAAATGATTGCCAAATCTAAATCTGAACAACAAACCGAGCATGGACCTGACGAGCAGCAACTTGCAGGTTCATCAATATCATCTTATTCATCTGGCAGAAATATGGTTGTTTTTGGCCCTCGAACACTCGAAGAATTTATCAATGAAAAGAAAGAAGAAGCAGAGCAGCTGAAAGCAGAACTTACTAGAGCCAAGGAGAAAGAATATATTTTTACGTTTGGTCTGGAAAGATTCTCAGGTAGTAATGAGGACATAAACTTTTACACAGGATTTCCTGACTATCAAACGCTGATAGAATTCTGGAAATACATAGAACCTAATAGTTCTAGATTAACATACTACAGTTATCTTAAGAATTCCACTGATATTAATTTTAACAATGCATTTCCATACCTTAATTTAACTGAAAAAAAGTTTCCTGGTAGTAGTGTAGGTGCCCAACGCAGTCTTCAGCCTATAGATGAGTTTTGGCTTTTCCTAACTCGACTCAGAGTGGGTCTGTTAGAGCGTGACTTGGCTTTCAGGTTTAATATCTCTGTGCCAACAGTATCAGACATAATTATAACTTGGAGTAACTACATGTATATAATGCTTGGGAGCTTGCCAGTATGGACTTCAAGCGAAGTAATTAAGTTACACCTACCTGAAGCCTTTAGAGGGCGATTTGAAAATGTAAGGTGCATCATAGACTGCACAGAGGTTAAGTGTGAAAAACCCCAAGATCTTCAGAAGCAAAGTGAATTTTATTCTGAGTACAAAGCACACAATACTTATAAGGGATTGGTAGGCATATCTCCTAATGTTTGGGTTACATTTGTAAGCAACCTGTATGGAGGTAGCATATCTGACAGAGAAATTGTGGAGAAAAGTCACTTTATTGATCTGTTAGAACACCCTGATGTAATTATGGCAGATCGTGGCTTTGAGGATATTTTAGCAACCAAGCAAGTGAGACTGTTCATCCCACCAAAGAGGCAGTCCAAAATGGATCAGTTTTCAAAAGAGGATTGCTTTGAGACAATGAGAATTGCTAATGTTAGAATACACATAGAGCGTGCAATTAGGCGGGTAAAGGGATGGCACATTTTTGACCAAGTACTACCTTTAAGCATGAATGGTGTAGTTAACCAGATTTGGACTGTATGTTGTCTGCTAGTAAACTGGCAAAAACCTGCCCTTACATGCTAAATTAAACATGAACCAAATTCAAATTCATCTTATTAATTATTGAACAAAGCTATTAAATTGTTACATTTATTGTTATGTTAATAATATTATGTTATGTTAATTAATTAATAATACAGTATATATACAACAATGTTAATCTACTGTACTTACTGTAATTAAACAATGTAACCTTGAACGCAACACTTGTTTCGTTTTATTGAGAAGAATCATATCGGTCAAGCCCATCCCTCAGTCTAGGATAGGCCAATTCTGGCAAAATGTATGAATCATAGAATAATTCAAGATTAGCAAACTTTTCAATCCACCATTTTGGATCATATGGAACCCCTTTGCAATAAAGTTCTCCATTACTTGCTCTGACCACAAAATCACACCATGTTCTGTTTACAACATATAACTGCTGTTGCATTTGGTAATAATACATATGCCTCTTATTAACCATCCCATCTTTTTTGCATATTGATTTTCTCACTAAAGCTAATGATAAATCTTCACTGTCTTTAACAATGATATTCTTCACCTCTATTATTCCCAGGGGATTCTCAACACTGGGATCAGTAACAAGACCATCAGGAGAAGCACCTATAAACCCATGATGTTTTGATACAAAAAAACCACAATCTTCAACTTTAAGGTCACAGTGACCTTCTTGTTGCATTTTTTTTACATAATCAGTAACTGCTAGTTTTTCCTTTTTAATTCCATCCCTCGTAGCATTTGTTTGGACACTAGGGTTGTAGTTTAAAACCTCTTTTACAATTTTGGAAGGTGAAGTGCTAGACTTATGTGGACAAGCCACCCTGTGGCATTTTGAAGCTGTAACTCGGCCAAATCTGTAGGCAAACCACTTCGGATTATCAGATTGCCCCCGGGTCTCTTTTTCTATTTTTTTTATTTCATTTTCTGACACAAAAAGTTTACACTTAATTTTCTTACACCGTTCACTTATTTCATCAAGGCTAAGTGGTTGTTGCTTTGGTGGAGATATTATATGATATTTTCCCTGTGAAATTTCCTGAGTATTTTTTGCAGTATCAAAACTCTTACTTGTATCATGTGTTTTAGAGAATGTGTTGGAAGACACATTTGAGTTCATTAAAGTTTTAGGATGCAGTACAGATGTGCTTTTTCCTTGGGCAGACTGTTTACTCTCATTGGTCTTGTTACTGAAATCCTTAAGTTGTAAGTCAAGTACAGAACCTTTTGCAATTAACTCATTCTCATCCGGTCGAAAAGTAGCAATTTCGAGTGGTGTTGTTTCAAACGCTTATATCTCGCAAACTATACATCGCACGGAAACAGAAATTGCATCGTTCGAAAGAGGAGAACTTCTGCTTTCCAACGATACCAATTTCAATTTCATCCGGAGCTTGGTTAACGATTTACTCGCATAAATTTGCATACATTATGATATAAAAAAATGTTGCAATTATGCATAAATGTATTTAGCGGTTCAAATTTCAAATATGTCAAAAAAATTTATGAATACGACTGAAAGACACGGTTATGATCTACAAGTACCCAAAGTTTCATGCATGTAGCATAAATAGAAATATTTTTATTGAATTTTTATATAAACTAGGTAGTGGAGTAAAATTTACATTTTGTGCTCACATGAAACAAATACCTTTATCAAAGGTCCTTTTTTATTGCTGCAACATGTTATCAATAGATCGGAAGAGCACACGTCTGTCTTACTCTCCAAAGATAGTATGGCACCAAAATAAGTCTGTGATACCCACAAAAGAACACTCAAATCATGATTAGCAAAATATCTTTATTTCTACAATTACTACATACATTCTTAGATAATCATTACACCATTGACTTTAGTTATTAGTGGCATAACCAGCCTCAAAATTTGGTCATGCTATTCAAATTTGAAATAATCACTACTCATTTGTTTAGAAATTGATTGTTTTCACAATCTAGAACATGAAAATATTTGCAAATAGCATGACCAAGTGTTGTTGGGCTGGCATCATCATAATTAGTAGTTATAAAAAAGTAATGTTTTCCAAGGCAGTAATGTTTGCTAAAGCAGTAATGTTTGCCAAAGCACATAATTGGATTATGTGGTGAAAATATTTCCTTTATATTGTACTACAAAAGACCTAAGACTGTAACCAAACTGATATCAGATCACCACGTCATACCCAAATCTGTTGCGATGAATATCTGGACTTCTTCCTGTATAAATTTCAAAGTCGCAATATAACCCTTAGGATTGTCTGCAGCAACCCACAGATTTATTCCCCACATAGTAGGTCATCTAGCTTTGATGAACTGCCTAACCCCCAACCTATTTCTTGATTTGACAGTGTGTTTGTCTGCAACAACAATATTCTGTGACGGATGGTACAGTTGTTGATGCAGTTTATTGCTGTAGTCTTTAGTACTGGATCTACCATATTCACCATGATATAAGGTTTTTACACTCCAATAATTTTCAATCTCACTGTCGACCTTTAGCAAACCTGCATGTTATACTAAAAGGCAATCAACCTCTCAAGGTTGGTGGACTGCAAGACCCTTTTTTATTAGTATATGGGGATAACTTTTTCAAGAGTTATTTGTATGTGGGCATATGTATTGGTATGGCCAGGAAACTACCTCCTGAAGCATTCCCTTAGTAAAAAAGAGTCGAATGAACTCAAGCTCACAGTTCATTGAGCCAAATGAACTCAAGCTCACAGTTGATCGAAATGGATCCCGGACATGTCAGTGAGGAGCAAAATCTGGGAGAACATTCCTGGCGTCAGGATCATCATATCCGTCATGTACTATGGGGCCTAGTGGGGATGCTAGACAGGTAGCTTTCGAAACCTTAGGTCCTAATGGCTGGGCTTCCCTCTACCTCTACTCATCCCCCTACCTTCCCTCTGGGTTGGTGAGTGGGGTTCTCATGACTCATCAGAACTCTACTTCCCTGAGGCTATGAAACAGGAACAGCAGATAGGAACAGGATCAATATATTCATCAGTGCGAATAAAAACTTTTATAGACATGGTGCCACTTAAAATTATAATAAGAGCCAACTAGTAAGATATAAGTATGAATACTTGGCTATTATGTATGTAACAAACAACCAAACATGTGCTCAAGGCTCATTTTACTTCGCCTAGGAATCAGAGATTTTTATGCCTAAAACACCATAAATTTTCGTCAACAATATAAATAAATACCATTTATATTTGTCAATTTCAGTATGGAACGATTATTTCAACACAAAAAAGCGATATGAGGACATACTTGGTCGTACTAGTGAAGCTATACTAAATACAAATAAATTTACAACGCCATGGCAACGGCAAAACATTGAAATTGTCTAGAAATGATACAAATACTTGCCTTGAAACTCCAGACACGACTCCCAATGCCAGGTTGAGGATACTTGTCTTCATACGAAGATATTCCATCATTACTAGCACTATCAGTTTGCAAAATAAAGCCAAAAACGTCTTCAGAATGCGATTCAAAGAAAACTACAACACAATACATTTCAACGCTCGTGCGTTCCCGTGCGCGATAATCAGGAAAATTGCTCTAAAAGATTTGTTTTTCTGCCTAAGCCAATCAAAATCCGTATCTAGGGTAAACAAACCCTCCGGAAGTGATTCCTGCAGTCTTTTACCAGGAAACTGTAATGCTTTACCAAGAATTTGGCGTCCGAAGTTGGCCGAACACTTTCCGATCACGAGAATTGCCATAATAGGCTTATATTATTTCGCAATTTCCCGAGACTGCTCCGAGCTATAGAATGGAAGATGGCGATTCTTTTGGTATATTTGTTATTATTATACGTGGAAAAGAAGCAAAAAGACGAGCATTTGAATCAGGCGGAACATTCAAAATGCAACTGCAAAATTGATAATGTGTCATTTGCATAAATTTCACCGCATTGATCATTTCAAGGTAAGAAATTCGCTTGAAATTGAGCGAGAAACAATAAAATTATATGAATATTTCTGAATAAATAGTATCGATCAAGCGGAATTTTTTGGTGGTATTTTCGTATGTCTACTGCAAATACTCGCGAAGTTCTTTAATATTTAATCTTCCCGTCATATACGTCGGAAATTAATATTGGCGGATCGAATTGAGTACACGAAACATAATACAGCATGGGCAGTTCGTGTGTGGAAAGAGTGGGCGGACGAAAGGAATAGTAAAGCACCGGCCAACGAGAAAGTCGAGCCGAATATTTGTAAAGTCAGTGATGTAGAACTTCGGCATTGGTTAGCGAAATTTGTTGTCGAAGTTCGGAATAAAGCAACCAAAGGGGAATGCTATCCGCCTAATACGCTGTATCAGTTGTGTTGTGCTTTGCTGCGATATCTAAGAAATAATGGTCGTCCAACTTTAAATTTCTTCGAAGTTCCTAATTTTAAACATTTTCAGGACTCGATTGATGCAGAAATGAAGCGCCTAACAGGGCAGGGTGTTGGTGCAAACGTTAAATATGCTCAAGCCTTTTCTGAAGCTGATGAGGATAAACTCTGAACTTCTAAGCTCCTAGGGGATCATACAGCAAGTGTTTTATTAAACACAATGGTGTTTCTAATAGGAAAAAACTTTGCACTTCGAAGTGGTAGAGAGCACCGTCATCTAAAATTCAGTCAGTTGACACTGGAGCCGGCATGTGGCACGGAACCTGAGAAATTGGTGTACGTTTCTTTCGGGGAGAAAAACAATTTAGGAGGATTAAAGCATCGCAATATGAAGCGAAAGCGCGTGGAACATTGTATAAATGAAGAGTGTCCCAGTCAATGTTTGGTTCGATTGTACAAGAAATATGTGGGGAAATGCAGCTCAGAAGCCATAGCGAAAGACATATTTTCTTTGAGTCCTCGCCGAAAGTATTCTGATTCAGAAAAAGGTACAAACAAGTTATTTAGTTAGTTTTATCGTTTATTGTAGTTAATTTCCATTTTTAGCTTCAGCTGAATTTTCTGTGTTTTAGTTTGGTTCACTTCAAATCCAGTGGGCTACAACACACTTGGAGGGGTAGTTAAGAAGCTTTGCCGGGATGCTGGAATAGAAGGCAAATTTACAAATCACAATCTTAGAGCAACAATGCCAACTCGTGGTCCCTTAAAGGGAATTCCAGATAAGTTAATTATGGAAAAAAACAGATCATAGAGACGTAAGGTCATTACAGCAGTATCAGAGACCTAGCATAGAGTACAAAGTAGAAATGTCAAAAGCGTTTGATCAAGTTGATATGATGCCCACGTCTTCGGCGACAACCAGTATACAACTAATAGCGAGTGTCGGGAAGTCCGTGAAAAAGCTGAGGAGGAATTAGGAAGCGAAGTTAACAAGAACAAAGGTGATAGCGCAGTAAAGTGTGAGAATGTTGAAAAGTGTGTGAATTTCAATAATTGCACGTTTTTTATTAACAAGGAATTTAAAATGTAGACAGAAGAAGTAAATGGATATATTGTAGTGGAAATGAGTGTTGTATTTAACAACTTGAAGTTTGAAATATATTTTCAATACGTTTGTGTGAAAAATATTAGATATGTAAATCGAAGTGGTTGTAGTGTAATTAAAGTTCAATGGATTATCAATTCATGGCCTGTATCCAGGTACAATACTAGAACAGCGGGCTGTATTCAGATACAGCCCAACATTTCCGGGCTGTATCTGAATACAGTCCACTTGTTCATAATTATCTATTCAATTCAATTCATCAGCCCCGCTCTTCCCTGCAGAATATCAAAACCCTCCCCGTGCTTTTAGATGGTTAGCCCAATGACCGATATTTAAGTGAAATACAGCCCGGGATCTTCAAAGAAAACCGACTCAATTATGAAGTCTATGAAATAAGAGTAAATACATACTGATCTACTGCACTGCGCAGATAATACCTACATGCATTACCATCATGATCATTGTTCTTCAAAGTGCCATCGAATCCAGTGTCATCGCCATCAAGTTCGAATAATAGGCCACCATCATTGTCATCACCTGACAAATTGTTCTCGTCTGTATTCTGGTCGGGAAAATTTGTACACTCACAACAGGAACAAAGACCACTACACTTCAAATCTGCTCTTTGACAGACACGAATTCTTCTTGGACATTCAACCTTCGTTCGAGGTTTTCCAGTTTGAGTTAATTTAAAATTTTTCATCAGTTCATTGAAATTATATTTACAAAAATATTTATAATCTTTGTGGAGGAAGGTATTTTGTCTCTTGAGAAAACACCATTTTTGACGAAACACCAATACCACCAAAAATACTCAGGACGAGCGCGGTTTAACAGACTGATGCCTAATTTTCTTACAACGCGCGCAAAGCTTTCTGGGATAGCGTCACAATTCACAATCACACCGCCATATTTTAAAATATTTTAATGGCTTTAATGATTCAATATTAGGATTCAAACTCATGATTTGAAAAAAATTGAGAGGAAATTGCATAAGATAAAGAGTAAAGGCCTTTTAAATTAACTCTCAAACGCCCAATAAAGAAAATAGCAGGAAATGGTTTCGATCCATTGACCTATGGGTTATGGGCCAGCACGCTTCCACTGCGCCACCCTGCTTCCTGGGAGTAACAAACCACTTGTATATATTATATCTCTCGTTTCCAGTCGCCTCTGCTGGAACTGCGGCACATCAAATTACTGAAGATCTATGGAATGTTGCTGCTTGGTGCTGTCATAATAGTCTTCTAATCATTACCGATACGACCAAGTTACTGCTTTTTGGAACACATCAAATGAATGATACAAGCGTGCTTCGCCAATAACCCAGAGGTCATTGGATCGAAATCATTACCTGGTATCATCTTTATTATTGCTTTGCAATTTACATTCTAGTTTTCCGTCTCTATTTCTTCCGAAAAAACAAGTGTCGAAAATTATTAGCGCGGTTTGTGTCACGACCTGCTCTCGCGGCCCAGTTGGTTAGTGCGTCGTACTTATAAGCAGTGCAGGAGTATATGCGAAGGTCGAGAGTTCGATCCCTTCCGGAGCAAGTTTTTAGCAGTCTTCTCTAACGGTGGTATAGCGTATAAGTTTTGGCGTGTGAATATTATTGCATTGGGTTGTTAAACTTCCCACGAAAGGGATTCGGGTCCTTCACTACACAAACATTTTTCAATAATATTAGTCGAGTTATCAACATATATCAGGAATAAAAGTATGAGATCGGAAGAGCGTCTCGAAGATTAGCCAAAAATGTGAAAAACATTGAATCCTAAAACTGAATCATTGATTGAATCACTGAATCCTAGATAGAATCATTGAATGGCAGATTATATTATTGAATGCAATGGACCCTAGGAATCAATAATCATGGCTTTAATATTCAATATTAGGATTCAAACTCATGATTTGAAAAGAAATTGAGAGGAAAATGCATAAGTTAAAAGCGTAAATGCCTTTTAAATTAACGTTCATACGCCCCATAACGAAAATAGCAGGAAAAGTTTTCGATCCATTGACCTCTGGGTTATGAGCCCAGCACGCTTCCACTGCGCCACCCTGTTTCTTGGGAGTAATAGAGCATTTGTATATATTATATCTCTCGTTTCCAGTCGCCTCCGATGGTACTGCGGCACCTCAAATTACTGAAGATCTATGGAATGTTGCTGCTTGGTGCTGTCATAATATTCTTCTAATCAATACCGATACGACCAAGTTACTGCTTTTTGGAACACATCAAATGACACAGGCGTGCTTCGCCCATAACCCAGAGGTAATTGGATCGAAATCATTTCCTGCCATCATCTTTATTAATTTATTGCTTTGCACTTTACATTCTAGTTTTCTGTCTCCATTTCTTCCGAAAAAACAAGTTTCGAAAATTATTAGCGCGTTCTGTGCCACGACCAGCACTCGTGGCCCAGTTAGTTAGTGCGTCGTACTAATAAGCAGTGCAGGAGTATATGCGAAGGTCGAGGGTTCGATCGATCCCCTCCGGGAGCAAGTTTTTAGCAGTCTTCTCTAACGGTGGTATAGCGTATAGGCTTTGGTGTCAGAATATTATGGCATTCGGTTGTAAAAGTTCCCACGAAAGGGATTCGGATCCTTCACTACTTAAACGTTTTTCAATAATATTAGTCGAGTTTACCAAAATATATCCGGAATAAAAGTACGTTTCCCATGTTGTCTCGAAGATTAGCCGAAAATGTGAAAAACCTTGAATCCTAAAACTGAATCATTGATTGAATCAATGAATCCTAGATAGAATAATTGAATGGTAGATTAAATTATTGAATGCAATGGACTCAATAATCATGGTTTTAATGATTCAATATTAGGATTCAAACTCCTGATTTGAAAAAAATTGGGAGGAAAATGCATAAGTTAAAAGTGTAAAGGCCTCTTAAATTAACGTTCATACGCTCCATAACGAAAATAGCAGGAAATTGTTTCGATGCATTGACCTCTGGGTTATGGGCCCAGCACGCTTCCACTACGCCACCCTGTTTCTTGTGAGTAATAGTCCACTTGTATATATTATATCTCTCGTTTCCAGTCGCCTCTGCTGGTACTGCGGCACATCAATTTACTTAAGATCTATGGAATGTTGCTGGTTGGTGCTGTCATAATTAATAGTCTTCTAATCTTTACCGATACGACCAAGTTACTGTTTTTGGAACATATCAAAAGATACAAGCGTGCTTGCCCATAACTCGGAGGTCATTGGATCGAAATCATTTCCTGCTATCATATTTATTATTGCTTTGCACTTTACATTCTAATTTTCTGTCTCTATTTCTTCCCAAAAAACAAGTTTCAAAAATTATTAGCGCGTTCTGCGTCACGACCAGCACTCGTGGCCCAGTTGATTAGTGCGTCGTACTTATAAGCAGTGCAGGAGTATATGCGAAGGTCGAGAATTCGATCGATCCCCTCCGGGAGCAAGTTTTTAGCAGTCTTCTCTGACGGTGGTATATCGTATAGGCTTTGATGTCTGAATATTATGGCATTCGGTGGTTAAAGTTCCCACGAAAGGGATTCGGGTCCTTCACAACTCAAATATTTTTCAATAATATTAGTCGAGTTATCAACATATATTAGGAATAAAAGTACGTTTTCCATGTTGTCTCGAAGATTAGCCGAAAATGTGAAAAACGTGGAATCCTAAAACTGAATCATTGATTGAGTCACTGAATTCTAGTGTGAATCATTGAATGGTAGATTAAATTATTGAATGCAATGGACCCTAGGAATCAATAATCATGACTTTAATGATTCAATATTAGCATTCACAAACCTGATTTGAAAAAAAATTGGGAGGAAAATGCATAAGTTAAAAGTGTAAAGGCCTTTTAAATTAACATTCATACGCTGCATAACGAAAATAGCAGGAAATGGTTTCGATCCATTCACCTCTGGGTTATGGCCCAGCACGCTTCCACTGCGCTACTCTGTCTCTTGTGAGTAATATACCACTTGTATATATTATATCTCTCGTTTCCTGTCACCTCTGCTGGTACTGCGGCACATCAATTTACTTAAGATCTATGAAATTTTGCTGCTTGGTGCTGTCATAATTAATAGTCTTCTAATCTTTACCGATACGACCAAAGTTATTGTTATTGGAACACATCAAATGATAGAAGCGTGCTTCGCCCATAACTCAGAGGTCATTGGATCGAAATAATTTCCTGCTATGATATTTATTATTGCTTTGCACTTTACATTCTAGTTTTCTGTCTCTATTTCTTCCGAAAAAACAAGTGTCGAAAATTATTAGCTCGTTCTCTGCCACGACCTGCTCTCGTGGCCCAGTTGGTTTGTGCGTCGTACTTATAAGCAGTGCAGGAGTATATGCGAAGGTCGAGGGTTCGCTCCGCATGGGAGCCAGTTTTTTGCAGTCTTCCCTAACGGTGGTATAGCGTACAACTTTTGGTGTCTGAATATTGTTGCATTGGGTTGTCAAGGTCCCGCGAAAGGGATTCGGGTCCTTCAATACTCAAATATTTCTCAATAATATTAGTCGAGTTATCTACATATATCAGGAATAAAAGAAAGTTTCGCATGTTGTATCGAAGATTAGCCGAAAATGTGAAAAACGTGGAATCCTAATACTGAATCAATGATTGAATCAATGAATCCTAGATAGAATCATTTCATGGTTGATTAAATTATTGAAAGCAATGGACCCTTGGAATCAATAATCATGGCTTTAATGATTCAATATTAGGATTCAAACTCATGATTTAAAAAAATTGAGAGGAAAATGCATAAGATAAAGTGTAAAGGCCTTTTAAATTAAATCTCAAACGCCCCATAACGAAAATAGCAGGAAATGGTTTCGATCCATTGACCTCTGGGTTACGGGCCCCGCACGCTTCCACTGCGCCACCCTGCTTCTTGGGAGTGATTGACCACTTGTATATATTATATCTCTCGTTTCCGGTCGCCTCTGGTGTTACAGCGGCATATCAATTTACTTAAGATCAATGGAATGTTGCTGCTTGGTGCTGTCAGAATAGTCTTCTAATCACTACCGATACGACAAAGTTATTGATTTTTGGACACAAAAACGATACAAGCCTGCTTCGGCCATATCCCAGAGGCCATTGGATCGAAATAATTTCCTGCTATCATCTTTATTATTGCTTTGCACTTTACATTCTAGTTTTCTGTCTAAATTTCTTCCGCAAAACAAGTTTCGATAATTATTAGAGCGTTCCGTTTCACGACCTGCTCTCGTGGCCCTGTTGGTTAGTGCGTCGTACTTATAAGCAGTGCAGGGGTATATGCGCAGGTCGAGGGTTCGATCCCCTCCGGAAGCAAGTTTTTAGTAGTCTTCCCTAACGGTGGTTTAGCGTATAAGTTTTGGTGTCTGAATATTGTTGCATTGGGTTGTTAGGTTCCCACGAAAGGGATTCGGGTCCTTCACAACTCAAATATTTTTGAATAATATTAGTCGACTTATCAACATACATCAGGAATAAAAGTACGTTTTCCATGTTGTCTCGAAGATTAGCCGAAAATGTGAAAAACGTGGAATCCTAAAACTGAATCATTGATTGAATCACTGAATTCTAGTGTGAATCATTTAATGCTAGATTAAATTATTGAATGCAATGGACCCTAGATATCAATAATCATGGCTTTAATGATTCAATATTATGATTCAAACTCCTGATTTGAAAAAAAAATTGGGAGGAAAATGCATAAGTTAGAAGTGTAAAGGCCTTTTAAATTAACGTTCATACGCTGCATAACGAAAATAGCAGGAAATGGTTTGGATCCATTGACCTCTGGGTTATGGGCCCAGCACGCTTCCACTGCGCCAACCGGCTTCTTGGGAATAATAGACCACTTGTATATATTATATCTCTCGTTTCCGGTCGCCACTGCTGGTACTGCGGCATATCAATTTACCTAAGATCTATGGAATGTTGCTGCTTGGTGCTGTCAGAATAGTCTTCTAATCAGTTCTTTGTATGTTTGCATGGTGATAAAATATAATAGATTTTGTTTGTGGAAACACCACGTAAATTTATTACTGCAGTAATAAATTTACGTGGTGTTTCCACAAACAAAACCTATTAGTCTTCTAATCATTACCGATACGACCAAGTTATTGCTTTTTGAAACACAACAAACGATACAAGCCTACTTCGCCCATAACCCAGAGGTCATTGGATCGAAATAATTTCCTGCTATCATCTTTATTATTGCTTTGCACTTTACATTCTAGTTTTCTGTCTCTATTTCTTCCGCAAAAACAAGTTTCGATAATTATTAGAGCGTTCTGTGTCACGACCTGCTCTCGTGGCCGAGTTGGTTAGTTCGTCGTACTTATAAGCAGTGCAGGAGTATATGCGAAGGTCGAGTGTTCGATCCCCTCCGGGAGCAAGTTTTTAGTAGTCTTCCCTAACGGTGGTTTAGCGTATAAGTTTAGGTGTCTGAATATTGTTGCATTGGGTTGTTAAGTTCCCACGAAAAGGATTCGGGTCCTTCACAACTCAAATATTTTTCAATAATATTAGTCGAGTTATCAACATATATTAGGAATAAAAGTGCGTTTTCCATGTTGTCTCGACGATTAGCCGAAAATGTGAAAAACGTGGAATCCTAAAACTGAATCATTAATTGAGTCACTGAATTCTAGTGTGAATCATTGAATGGTAGATTAAATTATTGAATGCAATGGACCCTAGGAATCAATAATCATGGCTTTAATGATTCAATATTAGCATTCACAATCCTGATTTGAAAAAAAATTGAGAGGAAAATGCATAAGTTAAAAGTGTAAAGGCCTTTTAAATTAAGGTTCATAGGCTCCATAACGAAATTAGCAGGAAATGGTTTCGATCCATTCACCTCTGGGTTATGGCCCAGCACGCTTCCACTGCGCTACTCTGTCTCTTGTGAGCAATATACCACTTGTATATATTATATCTCTCGTTTCCTGTCACCTCTGCTGGTACTGCGGCACATCAATTTACTTAAGATCTATGGAATGTTGCTGCTTGGTGCTGTCATAATTAATAGTCTTCTAATCTTTACCGATACGACCAAGTTACTGTTTTTGGAACACATCAAATGATAGAAGCGTGCTTCGCCCATAACCCAGAGGTCATTGGATCGAAATAATTTCCTGCTATCATATTTATTATTGCTTTGCACTTTACATTCTAGTTTTCTGTCTCTATTTCTTCCGAAAAAACAAGTGTCGAAAATTATTAGCTCGTTCTCTGCCACGACCTGCTCTTGTGGCCCAGTTGGTTCGTGCGTCGTACTTATATAAGCAGTGCAGGAGTATATGCGAAGGTCGAGGGTTCGGTCCGCTCGGGGAGCAAGTTTTTTGCAGTCTTCCCTAACGGTGGTATAGCGTACAACTTTTGGTGTCTGAATATTGTTGCATTGGGTTGTCAAGGTCCCGCGAAAGGGATTCGAGTCCTTCAATACTCAAATATTTTTCAATAATATTAGTCGAGTTATCTACATATATCAGGAATAAAAGAACGTTTCGCATGTTGTATCGAAGATTAGCCGAAAATGTGAAAAACGTGGAATCCTAAAACTGAATCAATGAATCCTAGATCGAATCATTTAATGGTTGATTAAATTATTGAAAGCAATGGAGGCTTGGAATCAATAATCATGGCTTTAATGATTCAATATTAGGATACAAACTCATGATTTAAAAAAATTGGGAGGAAAATGCATAAGATAAAGTGTAAAGGCCTTTTAAATTAAATCTTAAACGCCCCATAACGAAAATAGCAGGAAATGGTTTGGATCCATTGACCTCTGGGTTATGGGCCCAGCACGCTTCCACTGCGCCACCCTGCTTCTTGGGAGTAATAGACCACTTGTATATATTATATCTCTCGTTTCCAGTCGCCTCTGGTGGTAGTGAGGCATATCAAATTATTGAAGATCTATGCAATGTTGCTCCTTGGTGCTGTCAGAATAGTCTTCGAATCATTACCGATACGACCAAGTTATTGCTTTTTGGAACACATCAAATGATACAAGCCTGCTTCGCCCATAACCCAGAGGTCGATCATTGGATCGAAATAATTTCCTGCTATCATCTTTATTATTGCTTTGCACTTTACATTCTAGTTTTCTGCCTCTATTTCTTCCGAAAAAAAACAAGTGTCTAAAATGATTAGCTCGTTCTTTGCCACGACCTGCTCTCGTGGCCCAGTTGGTTAGTGCGTCGTACTTATAAGCACTGCAGGAGTATATGCGAAGGTCGAAGGTTCGATCCCCTCCAGGTGCAAGTTTTTAGCAGTCTTCCCTAACGGTGGTATAGCGCACAAGTTTTGGTGTCTGAATATTGTTACATTCGTTTGTCAAGGTCCCGCGAAAGGGATTCGGGTCCTTCAAAACTCAAACATATTCCAATAATATTAGTCGAGTTATCAACATATATCAGGAATATAAGAACGTTTCGCATGTTGTATCGAAGATTAGCCGAAAATGTGAAAAACGTGGAATCCTAAAACTGAATCAATGGTTGAATCAATGAATCCTAGATAGAATCATTTAATGGTTGATTAAATTATTGAAAGCAATGGACGCTTGGAATCAATAATCATGGCTTTAATGATTCAATATTAGGATTCAAACTCATGATTTAAAAAAATTGAGAGGAAAATGCATAAGATAAAGAGTAAAGGTTCTTTTAAATTAAATCTCGAACGCCCCATAACGAAAATAGCAGGAAATGGTTTCGATCCATTGACTTCTGGGTTATGGGCCCCGCACGCTTCCACTGCGCCACCCTGCTTCTTGGGAGTAATAGACCAGTTGTATATATTATATCTCTCGTTTCTAGTCGCCTCTGGTGGTACTGCAGAATATCAAATTACTGAAGATCTATGGAATGTTGCTGCTTGGTACTGTCAGACTAGTCTTCTAATCATTACCGATATGACCAAGTTATTGCTTTTTGGAACACATCAAATGATACAAGCCTGCTTCGCCCATAACCCAGAGGTCATTGGATCGAAATAATTTCCTGCTATCATTTTTTTATGGCTTTGCACTTTACATTCTAGTTTTCTGTCTCTATTTCTTCCGCAAAAAGAAGTTTCGATAATTATTAGAGCGTTCTGTGTCACGACCTGCTCTCGTGGCCCAGTTGGTTAGTGCGTCGTACTTATAAGCAGAACAGGAGTATATGCGAAGGTCGAGGGTTCGATCCCCTCCGGGAGCAAGTTTTTAGTAGTCTTCCCTAACGGTGGTTTAGCGTACAAGTTTTGGTGTCTGAATATTGTTGCATTGGGTTGTTAAGTTCCCACGAAAGGGATTGTGGTCGTTCACAACTCAAATATTTTTCAATAATATTAGTCGAGTTATCAACATATATCAGGAATAAAAGTACGTTTTCCATGTTGTCTCGAAGATTAGTCGAAAATGTGAAAAACGTGGAATCCTAAAACTGAATCATTGATTGAATCACTGAATTCTAGTGTGAATCATTTAATGGTAGATTAAATTATTGAATGCACTGGACCCTAGGAATCAATAATCATGGCTTTAATGATTCAATAATAGGATTCTAACTCGTGATATGAAAAAAAAATTGGGAGGAAAATGCATAAGTTAGAAGTGTAAAGGCCTTTTAAATTAACGTTCATACGCTGCATAACGAAAATAGCAGGAAATGGTTTGGATCCATTGACCTCTGGCTTATGGGCTCAGAACGCTTGCTCTGCGCCAACCTGCTTCTTGGGAATAATAGACCACTTGTATATATTATATCTCTCGTTTCCGGTCGCCTATGCTGGTACTGCGACATATCAATTTACTTAAGTTCTATGGAATGTTGCTGCTTGGTGCTGTCAGAATAGTCTTCTAATCATTACCGATACGATCAAGTTATTTCTTTTTGAAACACAACAAACGATACAAGCCTGCTTCGCCCATAAACCTGAGGTCATTGGATCGAAATAATTTCCTGCTATCATATTTATTATTGCTTTGCACTTTACATTCTTGTTTTCTGTCTCTATTTCTTCCGCAAAAACAAGTTTCGATAATTATTAGAGCGTTCTGTGTCACGACCTGCTCTCGTGGCCTAGTTGGTTAGTGCGTCGTACTTATAAGCAGTGCAGGAGTATATGCGAAGGTCGAGGGTTCGATCCCCTCCGGGAGCAAGTTTTTAGTAGTCTTCCCTAACGGTGGTTTAGCGTACAAATTTTGGTGTCTGAATATTGTTGCATTGGGTTGTTAAGTTCCCACGAAAGGGATTGGGGTCGTTCACAACTCAAATATTTTTCAATAATATTAGTCGAGTTATCAACATATATCAGGAATAAAAGTACGTTTTCCATGTTGTCTCGAAGATTAGCCGAAAATGTGAAAAACGTGGAATCCTAATTAAACTGAATCAATCATTGATTGAATCACTGAATTCTAGTGTGAATCATTTAATGGTAGATTAAATTATTGAATGCAATGGACCCTAGGAATCAATAATCATGGCTTTAATGATTCAATATTAGGATTCTAACTCGTGATTTGAAAAAAAAATTGGGAGGAAAATGCATAGGTTAGAAGTGTGAAGGCCTTTTAAATTAACGTTCATACGCTGCATAACGAAAATAGCAGGAAATGGTTTGGATCCATTGACCTCTGGGTTATGGGCCCAGCACGCTTCCTCTGCGCCAACCTGCTTCTTGGGAATAATAGACCACTTGTATATATTATATCTCTCGTTTCCGGTCGCCTATGCTGGTACTGCGGCATATCAATTTACTTAAGTTCTATGGAATGTTGCTGCTTGGTGCTGTCAGAATAGTCTTCTAATTATTACCGATACGACCAAGTTATTGCTTTTTGAAACACAACAAACGATACAAGCCTGCTTCGCCCATAAACCTGAGGTCATTGGATCGAAATAATTTCCTGCTATCATATTTATTATTGCTTTGCACTTTACATTCTTGTTTTCTGTCTCTATTTCTTCCGCAAAAACAAGTTTCGATAATTATTAGAGCGTTCTGTGTCACGACCTGCTCTCGTGGCCCAGTTGGTTAGTGCGTCGTACTTATAAGCAGTGCAGGAGTATATGCGAAGGTCGAGGGTTTGATCCCCTCCGGGAGCAAGTTTTTAGTAGTCTTCCCTAACGGTGGTTTAGCGTACAAATTTTGGTGTCTGAATATTGTTGCATTGGGTTGTTAAGTTCCCACGAAAGGGATTGGGGTCGTTCACAACTCAAATATTTTTCAATAATATTAGTCGAGTTATCAACATATATCAGGAATAAAAGTACGTTTTCCATGTTGTCTCGAAGATTAGCCGAAAATGTGAAAAACGTGGAATCCTAATTAAACTGAATCATTGATTGAATCACTGAATTCTAGTGTGAATCATTTAATGGTAGATTAAATTATTCAATGCAATGGACCCTAGGAATCAATAATCATGGCTTTAATGATTCAATATTAGGATTCTAACTCGTGATTTGAAAAAAAAATTGCGAGGAAAATGCATAGGTTAGAAGTGTGAAGGCCTTTTAAATTAACGTTTATACGCTGCATAACGAAAATAGCAGGAAATGGTTTGGATCCATTGACCTCTGGGTTATGGGCCCAGCACGCTTCCTCTGCGCCAACCTGCTTCTTGGGAATAATAGACCACTTGTATATATTATATCTCTCGTTTCCGGTCGCCTATGCTGGTACTGCGGCATATCAATTTACTTAAGTTCTATGGAATGTTGCTGCTTGGTGCTGTCAGAATAGTCTTCTAATCATTACCGATACGACCAAGTTATTGCTTTTTGAAACACAACAAACGATACAAGCCTGCTTCGCCCATAAACCTGAGGTCATTGGATCGAAATAATTTCCTGCTATCATATTTATTATTGCTTTGCACTTTACATTCTTGTTTTCTGTCTCTATTTCTTCCGCAAAAACAAGTTTCGATAATTATTAGAGCGTTCTGTGTCACGACCTGCTCTCGTGGCCCAGTTGGTTAGTGCGTCGTACTTATAAGCAGTGCAGGAGTATATGCGAAGGTCGAGGGTTCGATCCCCTCCGGGAGCAAGTTTTTAGTAGTCTTCCCTAACGGTGGTTTAGCGTACAAATTTTGGTGTCTGAATATTGTTGCATTGGGTTGTTAAGTTCCCACGAAAGGGATTGGGGTCGTTCACAACTCAAATATTTTTCAATAATATTAGTCGAGTTATCAACATATATCAGGAATAAAAGTACGTTTTCCATGTTGTCTCGAAGATTAGCCGAAAATGTGAAAAACGTGGAATCCTAATTAAACTGAATCATTGATTGAATCACTGAATTCTAGTGTGAATCATTTAATGGTAGATTAAATTATTGAATGCATTGGACCCTAGGAATCAATAATCATGACTTTAATGATTCAATATTAGGATTCTAACTCGTGATTTGAAAAAAAAATTGGGAGGAAAATGCATAGGTTAGAAGTGTGAAGGCCTTTTAAATTAACGTTCATACGCTGCATAACGAAAATAGCAGGAAATGGTTTGGATCCATTGACCTCTGGGTTATGGGCCCAGCACGCTTCCTCTGCGCCAACCTGCTTCTTGGGAATAGTAGACCACTTGTATATATTATATCTCTCGTTTCCGGTCGCCTATGCTGGTACTGCGGCATATCAATTTACTTAAGTTCTATGGAATGTTGCTGCTTGGTGCTGTCAGAATAGTCTTCTAATCATTACCGATACGACCAAGTTATTGCATTTTGAAACACAACAAACGATACAAGCCTGCTTCGCCCATAAACCTGAGGTCATTGGATCGAAATAATTTCCTGCTATCATATTTATTATTGCTTTGCACTTTACATTCTTGTTTTCTGTCTCTATTTCTTCCGCAAAAACAAGTTTCGATAATTATTAGAGCGTTCTGTGTCACGACCTGCTCTCGTGGCCCAGTTGGTTAGTGCGTCGTACTTATAAGCAGTGCAGGAGTATATGCGAAGGTCGAGGGTTCGATCCCCTCCAGGAGCATGTTTTTAGCAGTCTTCCCTAACGGTGGTATAGCGTACAACTTTTGGTGTCTGAATATTGTTGCATTGGGCTGTCAAGGTCCCGCGAAAGGGAGTCGGGTCCTTCAATACTCAAACATTTTTTCAATAATATTAGTCGAGTGATCTACATATATCAGGAATAAAAGAACGTTTCGCATGTTTTATCGAAGATTAGCCGAAAATGTGAAAAACCTTAATTGAATCCTAAAACTGAATCATTGATTGAATCAATGAATCCTAGATAGAATCATTTAATGGTTGATTAAATTATTGAAAGCAATGGACTGTTGGAATCAATAATCATGGCTTTAATGATTCAATATTAGGATTCAAACTGATGATTTAAAAAAATTGAGAGGAAAATGCATAAGATAAAGAGTAAAGGCCTTTTAAATTAAATCTCAAACGCCTCATAACGAAAATAGCAGGAAATGGTTTCGATCCATTGACCTCTGGGTTATGGGCCCAGCACGCTTCCACTGCGCCACCCTGCTTCTTGGGAGTAATTGACCACTTGTATATATTATATCTCTCGTTTCCAGTCGCCTCTGGTGGTACTGCGGCATATCAAATTACTGAAGATCTATGGAATGTTGCTGCTTGGTGCTGTCAGAATAGTCTTCTAATCATTACCGATACGACCAAGTTATTGCTTTTTGGAACACATCAAATGATACAAGCCTGCTTCACCCATAACCCAGAGGTCATTGGATCGAAATAATTTCCTGCTATCATATTTATTATGGCTTTCCACTTTACATTCTAGTTTTCTGTCTCTATTTCTTCCGAAAAAACAAGTTTCGATAATTATTAGAGCGTTCTGTGTCACGACGTGCTCTCTTGGCCTAGTTGGTTAGTGCGTCGTACTTATAAGCAGTGCAGGAGTATATGCGAAGGTCGAGGGTTCGGTCCGCTCGGGGAGCAAGTTTTTAGCAGTCTTTCCTAACGGTGGTATAGCGTATAGGCTTTGGTGTGTGAATATTATTGCATGCGGCTGTTTAAGTTCCCGCGAAGGGGATTTGGGTCGTTCACTACTCAAACATTTTTCAACAATATTAGTACAGTTATCAACATATATCAGGAATAAAAGAACGTTTTTCATGTTGCCTCGAAGATTAGCCGAAAATGTGAAAAACTTTGAATCCTAAAACTGAATCATTGATTGAATCACTGAATCCTAGATAGAATGATTGAATTGTACATTAAATTATTGAATGCTACGGATCCTAGGATTCGATAATCATGGCTTTAATGATTCAATATGAGGATTCAAACTCATGACTTGAAAAAAATTTGAGAGGAAAATGCATAAGTTTTTTCTTAAAGGCCTTCTAAATGAACGCTCAAACGCTCCACAACGTAAATAGCAAGAAATGGTTTTGATCCATTGACCTCTGGGTTATGGGCCCAGCACGCTTCCACTGCGCCACCCTGCTTATAGGGTGCAATCGACCAGTTGTATATATTATATGAGTAGAAATTCTGAAAGCAATAGAAATCATATTTCTCTTAAAATCGCAATTAATTTGCGAAACTTGTTGTCTCGAACAACCCATTTAATTTGCGAAACTTGTTGTCTCGAAAAATTCTATTTTTCTGGATTCTGTGTCGAAAATTTTAATTAGCATTCCATAATGCATTTTCGTAATTTAATTTTTCGACATGTTTGCTTAGAGAGGTCTTGTATTTATGAAATAGATTACATTTTCCCGTTGTCTGTTCAGTTATAGATGCACATTATGACGTCATATGTGGTAAGAACAAAAAAGTGTTCACGAGCCGCCTAGGCGAGTGGTCACTTTTTGTTCTTACCACATATTTTTTTAATTTTAATTTAATTTTTTTAATTTAACAGCTTTGTTTGGCACGCATGCAAACAGGCACACATTATTGTACATAACTAGCACAAACTAACATGCACAAGAATAACAAATGAATATGTAAAAACGTGCCAAAGATGGAGAAGCACAAACGAGACTAGATCCCTTGCATGGTGCTCACCATTAATTAATCAGGACAGTATAGAGAAAACAACACGTTAATATAGAATAGAAAAAGTACATGAGAAGAAGTAAAGAAATTAAGACAGAGGAGAAAAGAACGACTGATATAGAAGATATTATTCAGTCGTGATCAATGTGTGTGAGCTAGGTAAGTCAGGAGTGTAAACAGTGGCAGTAAGTTGGAGGTAAGTCTTGTGGAGGTATGTTTTGAAGGAGGAGAGAGTGTCGAAGCTGTTCGAAGGAGCAGTTTTACATGCATAGTTCCACAGATTTACAATCCTAACAAAGTAGGAACTCTGGAATGTGCTAGTCTTACAAGCTTGTGATCTTAAAAGCTGAGAAGTTCCCGCACGTGTTCTGCTTGTCGTAGTTTCAACATAATATTCCACGTCAAGATCTATCAAATTGTTCCTGCATTTATAACAAAAGATCAGATCTTTCTGTTCTCTATCGTACACAAGCGGGACTAGATTGAGTTTTTTTAACCGTTCCACATAAGAAAGTTCTCCACGTTTTTTCGTTAGGATCCACATTGTTGCTCTCCTCTGGACACCTTCGATTTTTATTGAGAGCTGTCTGCTACTGGGACACCAGACTTCACATCCGTACGTGAGCTGAGTTTTAACCAACGTCAAATACAAGGTCCGCCTAACTTGGGTGTTCGTAATTTCAAAGCATGTTCTTTTAAGAAGACCAAGCATTTTGTTTGCCTTTGCAACCATCTTTAATATATGAGGGCCCCATTTCAGATCACTAGATACAAGAAGGCCAAGATCTTTTTCGGCTTTGCAATTCAATCGGCTTCCGTTTTCTTGTAGCCGTCAACACCTTGCACTTTTCTGTGTTGAATTTCATCCTCGATTTCGTACTCCATCAAGTTTTCTTGTAACGATTGGCAGTTGTCTACTGATCTTATTTTACTGTATAATTTTGCGTCATCTTCATACAATGCGGTGTTTGTACTCGATGATACATTGTCGGGAAGATCATTTATAAATATTACGAAAAGTAATGGTCCCAAAATGCTACCTTGCGGTATACCAGATGTAACAAAAGTCCATGACGATGCTGCGCCCTCGATAACAACTCTCTGCTGTCTGCCGTTCAAATAACTTTCGAACCAACGTAGAAGAGAACCATTTATACCATGTATTTGTAGCTTTTCTAGCAGAATATCGTGATCTACCGAGTCAAACGCTTATATGAAGTCATATTGTGTATCTATAACTGAACAGACAACGGGAAAATGTAATCTAAAATTGAAAAAATTGCCGAATTAAGCAGGTAAACAGCTTATTTTTATTCCCCCAAACATTGGAAGTCGAAATTTTGCAAATATCACGCGTACATGATTTATACAAATAACGAAATGCTATTGGCTCGCGTACATTGTATTGTATTGTATTGTATTGTATTAAAACTTTATTTAAAGACACTAGCCCCGTCAACGGTGCGTTGGTTTCCACGGGGGGGCGTCAACAATGTTAAAAATTACAAAAGATATAAGGGAAAAGAAGACTATTTACAAATTGGTGTGACCCCAGATGTTATGGTTAGACGGAGTTACAATTTATTTCAAATATATATAGTATTAGAGTTAAGTTTTAAATGGCTTTTGAACAGGTGCATTGATTCTGCCAGTTTCGTATCGATAGAGAGACTATTCCATAGCTTAGCCCCACTGTATTTAAAACTCTTTTTTAGGAATTCTCTTTTAGGCTTAGGAAGAGCCAAATCTGTATGACTATTTCTAAGATCATAATTTGTTTGCATATGATTGCGTCTTATCAAGGATTCTTTCAACGTAGGTCCTACGTAATCCTTCAAGACTTTAAACATTAATATTGCTTTGGTTGTACGTCGTCTTGTCTCTAAATTGTCCCAAGCAAGAGATTGAAGAACATCAGCAGATCTAATCTCATAACTTGCACCGACAATGATTCGGGCTGCGCGATTTTGAAATTTTTGGAGTTTATTCTTCAAATTTTGATCACAGACGCCCCAAATGGGAGAACAATAATCAAAATACGGCTGAATCAGAGCTCGATAAATTGTTTGAAGGGTGGTTATTGGAACAAAGGGTTTAATACGTCTCAAAGTACCCAGGCCTGCTCCAACCTTTTTGCAAATCGCCTGAATATGTGAATTCCAGTTAAGATTTTCATCTAAATCGAGACCAAGACATGTGAAAGAGTGAACTCTGGGGATGCGTTGGTTATTTAACATCACTGGATGATCAAAAGTTGTGGAATTAATATGATGTTTAGAGCCAAAGAACATTATTTTGGTCTTAGTTGGGTGGTGTTGTAATTTATTTCTAGAAAGCCAATCACCGATTCTACTCAGATCGTGATTAAGGTTTTCGGTTAATTCAATCAAACTGTTAGAGCTGCAGCAAATTTGGGTATCGTCAGCATATAAATAAGGAGTAGTTTTTTGAAGGCATTCGGGGAGGTCATTGATATTGAGTAAAAATAACAGTGGACCTAAAATAGATCCCTGCAGAACCCCAGAAACAATCCGTTTTGACGATGACATTGAATTATTAACAATACAGACTTGCTCCCTATTATTTAAGTAAGACTCAAACCATCTTAACTCAATATCCAATATACCGAATTGATCTTTTAATTTATGAAGCAGAATATTATGATCAATTGAGTCGAAGGCTTTACGAATGTCAAGAAAAACAATGCCGCTCAATTGACCATTATCCATATTTTCATAAAGAGTATCGCACACCTGAGTTAGAGCGGTGAGAGTTGAATGTTTAGGCCGAAAACCATGTTGATGTTTTGAAAGAAGTGAATTGTCATTAAGAAATTTATAAATTTGATTAAAAACGCATCTCTCAAGTATTTTACTAACAATGGGTAGTATCGAGATAGGGCGATAATTCCGATAGGCTAAGTTTAGAATGCGCTAGACGGTAATAAATAAGGAAAAACTAAAAATTTATCAAAACAGTGAAAAAACATTGTTTTAAAGAATAAAAACATGTGATAAAAAGGCAATTAAAAAGCACTTAAATATTGCTTATGTTGCACGAAGTAAAGAAACCAGCTGGAAAATGTGACATCGACAGGGTGAAATGACCGAAATAATATTTGTTTTCGAAGACTTGGATTTGATTTGATTGGATTTTGAAGTCGCAGCTGAATGACTGAGTTGAGATTTGCCGAGTTGCTAGCTTTTGTGAGTGATTTTTGCACATTTATCGAAGGTATTTATTGTTGTTTATATATTTAATTGCATGAATTCATTCAATTTGTATTAATTCAGTGGAATTTTCAATTATTTTCGACATTTTAAAAACTTACGAAGTAATTCCGTGCGTCTGTCCTCGAATAGATCATGGCTCTCGACCAATGATCATGAAATCGCATGAATTCATGAACAAACGTTTATTTGACAAATTTTTCTTATTTCAATGCTATTTGTAAAGAAAAAGCCGCTTCAACATACAACGGACATTGGAAATCAATGTAGGCCTATATATATATATATATATATATATATATTCGTTCGTTATGAATCACGCTGGTGTCCGGACTATAACTTGTAACAGAAAGCAATAAATACCGAAATTGTAGTTAAATGGCTTTCCGGCAAAAAGTAGTTAACTAACTTTCGGCAAAACTGGTGGAGAAATGGTTGCTTTTTAAATATTGCTCGTTGTCATTTGCCGCTTTCTTATGGAAAAAGATGCTTCGAGATGGAAGAAACCATTCGAAGAAAATTCACGGGAACAAATCCAATCGATCCTTAGAATTTCCTTGGCTTTTTCCTCCTGTAAAATAGAGGACATTGGAAGACATACAACTACAGTACTGCCTAGAAATAAGTTGACAAAAACCGCGGTTAACCGCGGTTAACCGCGGTTTAACCGTGGTGAACCCGCGGTTTAACCGCGGGTCGAGCGCGGTTTAACCGCGGGTTGATGGCGGTTCGACTTCGGGCCGTCCTCGGTTTGACCTCGGGTGAACCGCGGTTTGTCCGCGGTTAAACCTCGTATTGCCCGCGGTTACAGCGCGGTTTAACCGCGGTTGTGTGGGCGATGTGAGGCTTGACCGCAATTTACGGCTCACCCCGAAGGCAACACGACTTTGCCGAGTGTAAATATTGTATTTTAGAGATCAGAATCAACAATATTTTTGCGAGACTAAACGGCGAAACAAGGCAGCAGTTTTAAAACATTTCATTCAGAAGGTTGGGAAGCAATACAATGCGAAAGCTATTGTAAGAGACTTAGGATCTAAAGGCTTCCGCGGGATATTGAATTTGTTTCTTTTTAATAATAAATGATAAAATATACGCAAACATATAGACTTATACAAACAATAATTTTACTGAGTTCGCCATCTTGAATATTCTCTCCTCTCCTCGCGGTCGCCACTATATTGTTCTTACATAACGTTCTACTTCTAACTCTCTCACACTCCCCCCGTTGATCGATATAACCTCATCGATCAACAACATAATGTCAACAAATTCTTAAAACGTAATAATAGCTAATCTTCTATACTGAAATGTTAAAGGTTCAAAAATGTTAACCGTTCAACTTAGCTGTTGTAGCCACTGCTTTCGTAGTTCATCTGCTGCGACGGCTGCCTTTCTTCTTGGTTTTAATGTTTCAACTGTTTCCTCTGGATCGTCTTTCTTCCTCTTTCAGCGTCTTCGTTTTCTGCGTCATTAATCTCCAACGGGATCAACGCCTTTATTGGTCTTCTTAGTTTGCTAGGTTTCATTCCCTTGCTACCAATCTTGACTGCCGCTCCTCTGACCTGATCATCTTTACCAGTAATCAGTTCTTCGACTCGACCTATTTTCCACGAAACTCTTGGCGTGTCATCACGAACGACAACCACATCTCCTACTCGAACAATTCTTCTCTGTGGGGTGTTCTTGATTCTCAAACGATGCGATTCTCTAAGTTCGAATAGGTATTCATTACGCCATCTTTTCCAAAAATGTTCGATTAGTTTTTCCAGATGTACTCCTTTACGGACAATCTTGTTTGTTTGTTTGTTTGTTTGTTTGTGAACTTTTATTTAGTCACGGTGGACTCATCAGGATTTTACACACTTATGATAAAGTAACAAAGGAAATTAGATATATGATAAATTATACTATACATATTTACAAAACTACCTGTTTTTCATGAGTGCCGTGCATTAAATTGATAAAATTAGATAAAATATTTAAAAATTATTGAATAAAGTTGCTACAGTCAGACTTAAATTTATGTAAAGTACTAGCCTGTCTTAACTCAGTAGGAAGAGAATTCCACAGTACTGCACCGCTATAACTAAAGCTATTTTTCAGGTAATTAGTACGCGGTAGTGACAAAGCTAGTTTGTTACTGGTGTCTCTCAATGCATAATTTGTGATACTATTGCGATCAACAAACATATTAGAAAGATAATCTGGGGCAAGACCATTCAAGGATTTATACACCATGATAGCCTTGGTAAGCCTACGCTGAGATACAAGATTTTTCCATCCAAGACTTTCGAAAAGATAATCGGCATTTGTATCATA